CACAAACCAGGAGCCTGGGACCTGACCCTTGTCGACCCTTGTCGACCCTCTGGGCTTGCGACTTGCAAAGAAGCCAGAATTCGACAGGCGGCGGTGGCGGGCACCAAAGCTGCTAGGGGTCCTAGTGTGCACGCCGGGATGGCGCCAGAGTTAGTAATATTGAATCGACAGCTTCGCGAGTGTTCCTTTTTCAGGCGTTCATTTCCAATTTCCCACAGCCATCCCGAAAACCGGGAGCAACAGTGGGAGCTAGGTCGAATATGACGGGGACCGGCTGGCCTCTAAGGATCCATGCAGCATTGAGTGGTGGAGGCTGAGACGGAAGAAGAGGACGACGGCTTGGTGTCGGTGTCGTTCATTTCTCCATATCGCAACCCTGGGGAACATCTGTGGGTTACTGAGTACATCAGGCATCGAGCGACCATCAACGGGCCGCCTCTGTACATGTTGCTGCCATTGCCCAGATCCCCATTCGCCAGGCGCTCTTCTGCACATGAGTAGCGCGATGTTTGCTTTTTCCGAATCGCTTGTTGCTTCCTGCTGAGCATCACCGAACCCTGCCTGTCATGCCATCGCGATCGGTCCCTTGCGCATCGCATACCTGGATAACCCCAGGCAAAATACGGATTTCATGAACCGCAGTTCCAGTGGCATATCCACGTTTCATGTTGGAAACCAGATCTCGACTGTAACTGTTGGCTCCATGCTCCGCTAGATACGTAGGTACACTGACTGTCGCTGAATATCACTCCCTTCCCCTACAAGGCTGAATATACCCCATCGTGAAAACCTATATAATTTCTGGTCGAGGGAAACTAGACCTGGTCCTTTGCCATATGGCGGTACTCATGTGGCTGTTGCGCCTTCAGGATCGACATCGCAGAAAATTCCAACAGCCTGCCGTAGCTGAAAGGGAAAATTAGATTTATCACATAAGTCTATCTCTCCCACCAAGCCAACGACAAATCTCCCTGGGAATGGATATCCTCGACCTTTGCAAGCCTCCTCAACTCCGTTCCTAGATTCGTGCAGTTTGGCAACCGCCACAGTATATCTACAGTTATCCAAGTTTGGAGCGAGCTAGTGGCACCTGGAAGTTCTGATCACCAAGGCTCCAAAAGATGGATTCTGGAATTATTTCACATCATTCACAAACGTTCATTGGCAGCCTTGACTTTCAAGAGGCCTATGCTCATCCTCACATTGCATGCCACAGTGACACTTTCCCATACTATTAGTATGTTCTGAAGTTTTGACAAAAGCTGATTAGGCGGATAGCAATAATAAAGGTGTTTTGTTCGATGCCGATATGAGTTCCGGCCCAAGCAGCCGACGGCAATGGCATACATAAATACCTGGATACGCCAACTAACACATTGAATCAAAACTCAAAATTCAGAAGGAGGAGTTCTTTGCGTTCCATTTGTTCAGGCCCATTGAACTACTGCCTGTTCCTCACGAACCTACAATATGGCACGAATCATAGAGTTGAAGAGGGTGGGATCATCAACCGGATCACGTCCTAGGCAATTCAAATTCCTTTCTTCTTGTGCATTGATTGTGGCAAAGATAAGGCGGGAATGGTATAGCGGTTCCACCGAATCAAAGGAGGCGAAAAGTTAAGGGAAAGAGAATAGCCAAATCTCCTGTTCCCCAAGCCGCATTTTTCGCCATTGTTGGTGTTTAATCTGCTTGGCAAATTGGAGATCGAACGTACCATACAGAGAGGCTTTTTGGCCTTCCGCCGATTAATCTGAAGCTTTCAACCGCGAGTTCAACCCCAACAGATTTCATGGAAATCCCCTCGATTCCTGAGGATCTCAACGGTTAACCTAGGAACCTTCCATTGTATAATGTCATAGGCTATCATAAGATCTGTTCAGGTGAAGAGATTGGGCTCACCGCTGAAGACCAGGCACGTTGCCAATGACTCAATTGGGATTTGCTTGAAATGTTGCAACGTCTTACCTCGCTGACAATAGCCTGTTTCCGCCGGGGTGGCGACTGTGAAACTGATGAATCCGAAAGAGACCCCGTGAGCCCTCACTGTTGAGATATCATACGAAGACCAGAGTGTGGATGAGGGCTGAAGACCACGACGGAGCATTGAACCAGCAGGATTCAAGGAAACTCTGCCCTGCTGATAATAATAACTATACAGCAAGCGCTGATTAAGAATCGGATTTGGATACATCATCACTTGCAATGTCCAGCACAGCATTGTCCCTTTTATGACTGGAAACCTGGGCAATGATAGGACTTGCTTAGCGCTGCTCTTTGGAAGGTCAAGGGTAGTGAATGGAAAGACTTCCAAGTGTGGCTCTGATGGTGAAAGAGTGCTTATGCGAACCATCAAGATGATCCCGTCCATATACAGTCAAGCACTCATCCAGTTACGCATTCCCTCATGCCTATGCGGTACTAAAGTTCCATCAAACTCAACTCTTTGATATTGATATTCACCATATGGTAACCTGCCTACACTACAAATATGATCAGAAGCTCGTTCCACCCTGAAACTTTACAACGATATTCTAACCAGCGTACAAGATTCGAATAAGGCAATATAAAACCTGCAGTTACCATTATTGTTATATCGGGGAAAGCATCGGAGATCGTGAATCGTGATATTGATACTAGCTCTTTCCTCATGTGGGGGGAGGTACAGTACATGTAATAAGTAGTATGTAGATTGCAGCCAGGCATCAAATCCAGATGAGCATGAGTGTCAAATTGGCTGAAGTCATCCCAAGAAATAAACAACAACAGCTAATGGATATGTGTTCAGGAAGTGCCCATTCAGATACTTTTATATGAAATAGGTGACTAGGAACAAGGGCTGAGAAAATGTCGGAGATCGATACACAAGACACACAATCCGGACGTTCTCATCGGTGGAGAGACGAAATATATTCATTCCCACTCCTTTTCTCACCTCTCAACTCTTTCGAACCTATCTCTCCAGTCAACCACGCCCTTCCCCTTTAAGATCCTACTCCCTTTTCGTTGCAGTCACGGCTCATCCTCTCATGACCAACCCCGCTCAAAGAACATGAATGGAGTTAATACAATAGAGAGAAGAGGACGGGAGCAAGAGATAGGAAGAGAAGGACGCGAAGGATATAGAGTCAGGAAAGCGAGCGAGAGAGAGAGAGAGAGAGAGAGAGAGAGAGTGTTTGTGAGTGGCGTGGAAAAAACTCAGCAAGAAAGAGCCCGGATTGTGTGTATAATAATAATAAGAGTAACTAATCTCCCATTTCATAATCCGCGCTCCTCCATAGAGAGAAGAAGGATGGGATCAGGAATTAATTTTGGTCTGCCAACGCTCCGTTAAGGACAATCTTAGTGGGGGGAGGCAAAGAAGAAAGAAAAAAAGAAAGGTTGTTTATCGAAATAAAAACCTCCTTTTCTTGTTTCGGCTTTCCAGATGTCCTTGCAGTACCCCAGTACGGTTCTGCATCGTTGGAAAAAATGATGAATTTCCCTTTTGAACAACAAAGAAACATAACAATAACGCAAATAGTAATTAGGCTGTTTTAAAACGACGCGCAAATTTTGTGCACGAGGATCCAGAGGGCGCAGAGGAGAGGGATATGAGCGGAATTGATGAATTTGATGAATGGTGCGCAAATGGGCTGAACATGGTTGAAGGGATACTTCGATGGAAAAAGAACCAAGTGATGTGATTGAGATGGTGGCCAGGTCGCCAGTAACACAGTGTAGTTCTGAAATTCAATTATCCATTTTTGTCTCAGCAAAGACAGCAGCATGTTGCAGATTGGATTGGAAACATGTTCTTGTTCTTGCGGCCAACAGAAAAAGAAAAGGACAAAAGGTCCAGAAAGTTACCTAATCAAAATCACGTGTGCATTTCCACTCCCAAGGATCTCATAGAATGAACGTTGTTTTGTATTAAAACTAACTAGCCGAGCAACAACTAAATAAGATTGGGGAGCACGTGATCTAGGGTAGCCGTAGTATCCACCTACAGGATCGCCCAACGGTGCCAAGATCAATCCTTAAGGTAGCCACCTATTCCTCAAGGCACGTATATATATGTATATTGATTTGCAGTATCTAAGAATGTGAAATATAGTAGAATTTGTTTATTATGGGTTCAGGATTTAAGGTTCCTACAGAGAGTAGGCTACAGAGTACGAGTACACATCCACATATGTCACCCTGGACTGTTGTTAACAACGTAGCAGGAAAGCCATCGACTTATATTCTTCTCGTTTTTGGTTGGCTGGTCGAGTCAACAACGAACGACCTTGAGATTATCGATCCAGTCTGTTCTCCGCGGTCGAATACTGTCCCAGCTAGAGTTGTTCCCAGAAAAGAACGTCGACTCGTTTCGTGGTACAGGATAAAGTCAACAAACCGTAGAATGAATATTCAAAAATCGCAGCTAACTATCAAATGTCAGGTTACGGGATGATTCCTGCGCCTTTCAGACCGACCTAAATAGATATCTTTCGGAAGGGGGGCCGGGTCGGGGAGGGGGAAATTGAGCAGAGAACAAAGGGTTTTTATTTTTCTCTCCGTTTCTTCTTTCCTACTACTGTATGTCTTGGTGAAGGCAGGTCTCTATTGTATTCAGTCGATATTTGGTCCTCGAGATCTAATCTTCTCTGGCCACTTTCGCAGATGGTGGTTTTGTAGCTCGTTCAGCGAGTTAGAGTACAAGTTCTAGCACAACTGGCGACAGATCAGACCATAATAAGAGCTGTGTTGCGACAGAGGTAGCAACGCAATGGAAATATCCCGGCGATAAAAGCCATCTATCCTCCGGCAAAGACAGCACCATGACATAATCGTTACAGAACAAAGCGGCACTCTAGCAGGACAATGCCTTAGGAACAAAAACTGTGTTGTAGGGAAGAAAAGTAAACGTGTAAAGAAAGAAAGTCAAATTGTGACAGAAGAAAATACAAGTTAGAAAGGACGCCCAAAGATCCCCAAAGACCCCTGGAACCCACTGGGTAGGGAGGTGGCAATCCCTAGTCATTACTTTGGAACAAGGCAGAGATACTGTTTGATACAGCGTCAGCGATAATACTTTTAAATATACCACAAGTGTATTAAGCCCTGTGAGGGCGGCAGATTTGACAAACCTCTCTCCGTAGTGATGACGCCTTACGCTTTCTGATAGGAGCGCCGATAAATCGATGACTATCAATTTTTTCGAATCCATCGCGTTCGGGGGGATCGGAAACGAATTGGTGATTACAATATAATCGATACACTTGCAGGCCTCCATCTCCTGCAGTGAGTCATGATTAAACAAGCCATGTGTGGCGATGCAGTACACCTTTTTGGCCCCGCCCCTCTTCACCACTGTCTCCGCAGCTGCGATCCACGAACCCGGCTTATCAATCATATCATCGACGATAAACACTTTCTTGTCCCTCACATCACCAACGAGTGTTACCGTCCTCTCACGAGTGAACATTTCCTGCTTATTATCTTCTTCGTCGGAGGAAGCGGCAGCATCAAATGAGCCTCCTAGGGCATGGTCAGGATGGAAGGACGATGCGTTGGAGATAAAAGATAAGGTCATGGGATCCCGCGAGGATGGTTCATATTCGGTGCCATTCCTATCTCCAGAAATCGTGTTAACAGAAGTTGACGAGAGAATTGGCGAAGAGTAGTCATCGTCAACAATATGGCCCTGCACCAATCTACCTGTGATCACCTCTCGCGCGCGCTCATCGGTGTACTCGAACGCGGCCTCTTGCTCAGAAGGACGGCGCGCAGAAAATGACGATTCGATTTGTTGCGAGACAGTGGTCGAGGCGTGTGGTGGCGTCGGTGGTGATTCAGACTCCGCAGCAGACGCCGTTCTTGCCAATGGACTAGGGGAGACATTTCGTTGAGAAGGTCGAACGGGAACTCTTGTTGAGGGAGGTTGGGACCCGGGTGGTTCGGTCTGAGGAACCGGATCAACAGGGGTCTGTTCGTCCTGCGGTGAGGGAAAACCGCGATCAACAGAATCGAAAAATATGGCGCTTCCTGATCCACTGTTCATGTTTCCCCGGCTCCGATCTGTGTTCACGATACCAAAGTTTAGCTTCAGCGCATCCGCCAAGGATGTCACCCTTTTGCTTCCGCCGGCATTTTTTGTGACTACAACAGCTTCATTCCAGCGAGGCACATTCATCCGGATCCAGCGCGCAATCAAGGGCTCAGCAAATAGGTTATCGACAGGTCTTCCGAAAAAACCTTGCATTTGAGATGCCTGTGGTGAAAACTTAGTGCTCCATTACATGGAAGCGAAGGATGACATTGTGGTGCCTGAAGGTGAATCATCATACATGTAAATCCACGGTAATTATATGATCTACGCCGGCGACAGTGAGCAAATTGGCAAGCATTCGAGCGGTTATCGCGCCACGATGGCTCTTCTTTTTTGATTGACGAGAGTAGGGGAAATAACTCTAGCATGTTAGCAGCATTGGCTACGGGTTGAGAGAAAGGAAGTAACCTACGGCATCACCGCTAGAGAACGAGAAAGAAAACAAGTTAGAGGTTGGGCATATTTCAAACTAGAACTGAATCTGGATATGAATAATAATCTATACATACCGGTAATTGATTTGGCAGAGCCACCTTTACAAGCGGATATCATGATAAGCAGTTCCATAACGCTATCATTGATCTTGGAGCTTCCGCTTTGCACAATGAAAACATCCTGGTTCCGCACGGAAACACCAATATTGACGCTTGTTTCTCCGTTACTGAATTTGCGGAGTTCACATTTGGCCGGGAGCGTGCCTAGACGTTCACAAATGGCCTCTGTTAGGGTAGGATGCGAGCTGCCTGAGAAGATTTGGACCCCACGCATAGTTTGGTATGAGCTGTAAAGGGGGCGTGAGAAAAGTCAGCTATTAGCGGTCATTGAAGAATAAAAAGTCAAGATGCTGCCAGTAGTGATATCAATCCCGTCTCCTGCCGCAGCCACTGCAATGTTCCTATCTGAAATTGCTGCCAGTGTTGTTCTGAAGAGTGAGGTTGGCATTTTTGATGGGGATTTTGGGATCTATGATTGTCTTGTGGCATGTGACCAGACCAATCTTGCTGAGATAACATTCTTCCCCATCAACAATATAGTTATACTTTCCAACCTTTTCTAAAGATAAATGTCTATAATTTACATTGATTCCTCTTCCTCGTACTACGGCCCACATGTCTTGCTATGCTGCCCTCTAAGTTCCCACAAATCCAACCAGGCGGCTCCTTGATCGTCGCATGGCAAGTCAAGAACAAGCACATCCTAGTGGTTGGCGGCGGTGAGGTTCGTCGCTGGTGCATAATCATATCAAATCCCAATTGGTGTACCTTCAAACTAACGCAGCATTAATGCCAACAGGTAGCTGCCGGCCGCATAGTGCATGCGCTCAACGCCGATGCAAAGGTAACCGTTATCAGCCCGTCCTCAGGCCTCAACGACGAAGTCTCCTACCGCGTCGCCTCGAAACAAGTCTCCCATGTTGACCGCAAATTCGAGCCGCGCGACCTCGACATCGCCGGTGATAGCGGAGTAGGGGTGGTAGACATGGTGTTCGTTGCCATCGATGACCCAGAGGAGTCAACGCAGATCTGGAAGCTATGCAAGCAGCGCCGGATTCCAGCGAATATAGCTGATGTGCCATCAGAGTGTGATTTCTACTTTGGAAGTGTGCACCGCGATGGGCCCTTGCAGATCATGGTGAGTACGAATGGGAATGGGCCGAAGTTGGCCAGTATGGTTCGGAAGGAAATTGCGAGCACGTTGCCCGGAAACACTGGGGCGGCGATTGAGAACGTGGGCAGCTTGAGGAGGAGACTTAGAGAAATCGCTTCTTCGCATCATGATGGACCCAAGAGAATGAAATGGTCAGTCATATCTAACTTCTTTGCGTCCCTGGTGCACCCACTCCGTCATCATCTATGTGAATTTTGTCTATCGTTCCCCTTCCATCTGATAGCTGCATAGGATATCTCGGATATGCGACATGTGGAGCTTGGAAGAGCTTGTGGAGATGGATGAGGATGATATCGAGACCCTCCTTGGTTACTATCTCTCCGACAAGGTGCCGACATTCGAACAAGTGCGTCTGGGAGAAGACGCAGACTGGATTGGTTTTGACGGAAGTATGGGCTTTAGCTGTTGATGGGGCATTTTATCTACTGGCATATAAATCGTTGTTGCCTTGGCTGGATAGGTGGGTGCATCTACAATATTCCTAGTGGTTTGCAATAATTTGCGGCGAATCTAATGGTAATTCCGATCGTAAATGCATTGAAATGAAATGTGTAAGAATAAATATAGTAAACTAGTTAGTCGATATTGCATGGCTTTGGAGTATTGGATTTTTCTCATGCAGAGTTCATAATTTCAACCAAGGGTGACAACGGCAAAAGCAAGGAGGTATAATGTGGAGGTATTCATATATGTAATCGCGCGAAATCTGGAATTAAGAATTGCCAAGCGCTTTGGGGAGGACATTTAGGAGAAGAAGTAAAATCAAAAGAGGAAGAAGTAATTTCGAACCAGCAAAGTCTAGGTAGATGTGCAGTACAAAATGGCGTCTACCAAATAACTCAAGGTCGACAGAATCATTAAATGAAAATGAAAAGGAATAAGAAAAAAGAACAATCGTGTGGGTAATAACAGGAAAATAAGTGGAGAAGATATAGAGCGCTTGTGAAGGTCTGCAGGTCGCTTTTCATTTTATTCACCGTCCTTTACTACGCCGCCTGCTGCCATTAAAATAGTGTTGAGAAGTAAAGCTCCGTGGGCTGGAGGGTGTTTCTGGTGGGATGTACGGAGGCATTCCGAGACGGCACTCTCCTACACGACGGAGAAAGGAGTATAAGGCAAGCCGAACGTCGTTGTTGAGATCGCGGCCGAGAAGATCAATGCAGATTGGATAGAAGGTTTCAATGTGCTTTTCGAAAGTCTCACGGGGCATGCCGGTGTATCCTTCCATAACGTCCACGACTACTGGTCGCCACGCCACGATGTTGCGTTGCTGGGTTTCTTCATCCAGATGGGCATAACCACGAATGATATCCGCGCATAGGCTAGAAGTGAATAAGGTTATTTAGCTTTCGGAAATGTTGTATTTCGCTATTCAAATTGGAGGTTGTTCTGGAGAAAAAATTAAAAAAATAAAAAAAACCTACGGGATAAGTGCAGCTTCTGTCTCGGCTCTGCTGTTCCTCCGTTCGTCACCTTCATCATGGTACATGCGGAACAGAATATTGACATATGTAGCGGCACTTCCGCTTTCTTGTTTGAGAAGATTCGGCGGCTGTTTCATGAAACCCTGCCGCCACAGTTGGACCCTGAGATCCTTGGCTTCGTTGAATTTTTTCGCGAACTGGTAACTTTTCTTAAGGAGTGCCATGAGGCGGAGAAGTTCCTGGCTGGGTATCTGTGCGTAGACGGCATCATTCGAGAAGAGCTCGTGGACTGTCTCAATCATCAGTAACTGTAGAACGCAGTTGGTGATGATTCCGTTAAAGAAGCGTCTTCGTGCAACTGTCACTATTGCAGGAGGTTGGCCCATTTGGGATTGGGGACGGTAATCTTCAAGCTCCGAAGATGCGGCTGGGGGAAGTTGGCCAGGATTCAATTGGCTATCCTCCGCATCATGACTTTCCCCATCAAAATGAGTATTTCCATTAACCTTCGTAGGCATAGAAGTCGACGAAAGCTCTTCATTCATAGTTTTGTCAGCAGACTCTTCACTTGCCGCATTTTCGGCATTGCGTTTTTGAGCCTCTAATTCCTTAAAAGGTGCTGTGGTAGTTGCAGTAAATAGTTCATGGGCAGTAGTCTTCTCAAACAATTCCACGAAAGCCCCTACGATTTTCGTCCAATGCTTCTCCTGGAATTTGGAGACGTTTTGTAGGATAAGTTGTTGCAAACAGTTGCTGCCAATTCGTGCAATCGTGTCGTTCTCTTGGCATATACATAGAGTGAGTAGCTCCAAAAACCGATCCAACATATACTCGAGGGAGTCAAAGTAATGTGTGAACAGAGTAATCATATTACGCAGAGCTTGGATCATTGTGGTTGAGAGCCAAACAGACAATTCTTCATGATTTGGCACCTTCGACATCTCTGATTTCGACTGGAGGACGATGAAAATAGGATAAAGCAGTTGTCTCCAAAGGATATCCCAAAATTCTGGAGGGAAGTCTCCTCCGAATCGGATTAAAGTCTCGAAAAGATAGTTCAACGCCCTATTGTTGTCATAATTCAGTAAACAAAAAATATAATATAAGTATAATATTGTGCTATCCTCTCTCTTACCTTGATCGAACTTCAAGATCATCACCAGTCATCAGTACGTCCTGGAAGGCAATCAAGACAGGATACCAGAATTGTTCTTCCGCCGATTGTCGACTTGGCTGCAGAGGTTGAGTCGGTACATCAGCTCCTTCTTCTCCAGGGCGGCGTTGATACAACGGGCATTCAGGAGTCTTAAGCATTTTAGGAATGGTGGATTTCAATGTTTCAATTGCCTGAAGAGACTTTTTCTGGAACTTGAGGTTTTTCGAGAAATCTGTGAGGCACACAATGAGGTCTGCGAAAGCGCCTTGGGTAATGATAACACCAAAACGAGTCGTGTAGACCTGCAGGACGTGCTCAAATGCCATGCTAACGATTCCCTCTGTACGCAATCATTAGAAGTCATTTCTTGAAACCAAAGTCACTCTTCCATCTTGTTTTGGAACATACCATAGGGCTCTCGCGCAGCAACACTGAAAACACCAAACATAGTTCTCCATCCAGACCGAATATTATCACCACGAGCCTGAATCATCTGGATGAGACAGCGAAGTACCATATCCTTGACAGTAACCGTAGTGCTGTGGGCCATGACGTGCTCAAATGGTTTCAAGAAATCTTTCTGGAATTTGAACCCGGGCAGTTCTCCCAATTCCATAAACTGCATGGAAAGCTGGCGGAGAGAGTCGAGAGCAAAAAATACAACGGCCGTATTGGTATGACAGCCAACCTGGTTGAAATGTTCGCCCAAAATCTCCCAGATCCTGCTCCATTCGATCCTCACTCGGGTCATATTATAGTAACTGATCTCAACAACTTTCTGGAGGCTGTAAGTACGAGGTGAGTCACTTTGGCCAGAAGATTGGATTTCTTGCCAGCTCACGTGGCTGAGCGCCCGAACAAAGTCTACAATGGCGTCGTTGGAGAGGTTGGCAGTGTTCGTAAATATGCGGTCAACGCCACGAATCATTTCTGTAGAGCGACTTTCCATAGCCACCTCGACACGGTAGTGCGCATTTGCATTTTGCATGGAGCGAGGTCGAGGTCGTCGGTGTGCTTGAGAAGATTTTCTGGAGCGAGAGGCATCTGCAGTTGACGGTGGAGTAAGCCTAGCCATCGACACATCCGGCAGCGCCCCTTCATCCACGCCATCGGTAAGGAGCTGGAATCTGTCAAGTTGACTTATACAAGTCAAGATTTCTCGCCAAGATTCCTTCAAGTGGTTACCCTCAGAAATAGCAACATCAAGCAGCACCTTCAACGCTTCCATATTTTTAGCCATCATTTCTCTGAGATTGCCTAGATTTGTAAACTTCGCCAACACGGTAACGAAGGCAACGCGAGGGGTTTCTAGGTCGAATCGGCAAGCGATGCGGATTGACAGACGAATTCCCTCCATACAAAGACGTATCGTGTCTAATTGTTGAGTATCCTGGACATGCGCCGAGAGACCAGAAAGAAAGGACATCCAAGTAACATTGAACATGGACCCAACATGCCGCGCCGAGGTCGCGGGGATAAAGCGCGAGAGAGCTTCTTTGATCGCAGACTTGCGCTGCGCTCGGATCAAACTTCGATAAAGCTGTTCGGTTTTGTTGGCAATCTCCTCCGATGCTTGCGCATAGCGTTCACCCTGTACATCTCGGCCAACAGTTGCCAAAACTTGCCCTGCCCTGGTGGCTAACCCTGGTTGTGGTTGTGTTGGAATGCCCAAATTAGCAGCATTCTCCCTCTCGGTATTAAGAACGATCTCATTATTAGCGATCTCGTCATAAATACCGGAGAGGTACTCTTCGGGAAGGTCGCTATTATCATTGATCCCGCGATTGTTGTTGATAAAATCCTGCTTCGTCATTCGCCTTCCCTTCATTTTGGTGCTGTGAAGATCGGTATTTAACAAGATAACCGAATATGCAAGAACGTAGGCGGCATCAGCAGTGGCGAAAGCATTCGGGTTGCCAGTTAAATATCGCTCAGCAAATTTAAGCATGAACCGGTCAATTTTCTGGGACTCGCCAGGTAATCGAAAACTCTGCAAGAATTGCCGGAGAGCATCCACGAACCGACGCTTCTTGAAATCCATACAATCAACAAACGCGTGCATAATGGCAATATTTTCGGCATCGCCCTCCCCGAGATACTCTCCAAGAGTTGCTTTATCCAGTCGGTCATTTCGAATTAGGAAGTTCGCGATATCCACAGGGGAGTTGGATCGGATGAATCCTTCCGAGAGCAGCGCCTTGATTCCTCTTTTTGGTTTGAAATTAAATTGCTTGATAGCATTCGTGAGGGCAATTTTTCGCTGCTTTACTTTTTCTATTTGATTGGGATCATCATCTAATATAGGCGCAGATTGACTGGGTGTAAGATCTCCACTCTCAGTATTAGGTGATGGCGCTAGGAAAATAGAGCTCGTATCTAGAGATTCTCTGGAACCTCCTATGGACGATCTAGATTGGAATTCGCGGCGTGTAGGGTTTTGTTCTTCGAGTTTCCGAGATGACCAAACATCCAACGACCTTAAAATTTGTACTAGACACTCTAACGCACGTTGTTTCAAAACGTATTCTTGGGGAATACTTTGGGTGCCTGTGGGTGTTCCAGAGCCCATTTTCGCTGTGGAAAGCGAGGGTGGAAGTGTTCCTTTCTGGTGCCAATCATTATTAGGAGATTGGGATTTGCTGTGTTCCTGATATTGTTGCTCCTGCATCGCCGTCACTGTTATAGGAGTGCTCGACTGCCTCGATAAATGTTCGATAATGCTGTTTTTCGTTAATATTGCTACATTAAGTTGGTATCAGTCTAATATTGACATACCCTTGAAATATATTTTCTAAAGCCGTCCGATCACAGTCATAATTCAAATAAATTTCCACAAGTGCCCTTGGGTCGGCGGACAGCCTCTCTAGAATGTCCATAAAATATAGTTTTTGAAACATTGGAGAGTTCCGCTTTTCCAAAATGGCGAGGTAAATTTCTTTGAGAAATACTTCAATTTCCTTCTATGGAAATTGTTAGAAATTTACCAGAAAGGAATTAGTACCAATGCATTCAAGAACTCACCTTGAGCATAACTCTCATATGTTTGAGCATGAGCCAAAATATCTCGCAACCAACTTCAAAAACGCGCGGAACAGAGCTAGCACCATTTCTACTCAGACTTAGACAAAGGTGCGGTTTGACAGCTTCTAAAAGAGTCATGGAGTCGGAGGAATTGCTGCTATGTTTTAAGGTTGAGAGAGGAGAAGTAAAAACCGCGATATGATTGCTGAGGAGATGTTGGATTAAGTGCAAGGAGAGCAACTTGGATCTCATATTCTGAGATTTGATATCCAGTTGCTGTTCGTGAGAAAGAGCTTTATGACTGAGTTTGCACAACGCGCGGAAAACGAGGAAGGCATCTTTCACATATATTTCATCCACGTCGTCGTCGGCGAAGGAATCACCTTCGTCGCCAGATACAGACTTTTCACGCTTCCTGCTAACTTTCGCTCGCGTAACCATTGTTGGAGCATTATCGTTGACTAGAAGAGTGTCCTTATTTGTTTCAAAACTCTGCAGGGTGAGCTTCTCTGTCAAATCCTTGGCGACGGGTTGGTCAGGAACAGGTTGGGAAGCTTCAGATGACGAATCTTGCTCGCTTCGCAAGTCACCATTGGCCTGGCTTATTGAGTCCGGCGCTGGTGAGGAACCATCATGGTCTTCCCTGTCGCGAATCTGGGTCTCCTTAAGATCCAAACGAACGCGGACCCTGTCGTACACAGTGCCTACCATCTGGGTGAGTGACCCTTGGGCAATCTGTTGGTTTTGACTAGATTTGGAATATATAAAGATATTATATATTTGTCTAACAGCCTTTAGAAGACCAGCTCCGTGGACGACAATTTTGTCATTCAGTACGGCGGCGAGGAGGGACTTAATGATCTGTTGTTGAATTTCAGGGGGGGTTGATTCATTCTCAAAACAAGAACAAATTGTCTCAATAGCACGCTCTATAAGTGGAAGCTGATCGGGGGTTGCCTGTGGATCTTCGCCAGCAGCAGGGACGGACGGGAACGCGAAATAAGAATAGGTGATCAGCTTGCCGATACAGTCTAGGGCTGTCACCTGTAAGGGTATGCTAAGCGTCTTCGTAGCCAGCTGTAACGGTGCAAATATGGCTTCTGGATCAATAGGTTGTTCGTCAGATTGTTTAATATTCGCACGAGCTTTGGCCACAGCTTCTTCCAACCCCTTGCTCCGCCGTGCATCCTTTGAAGACCCGATTGTATCGAGTGCCGTTAAAATGAACACAGCGGAGCTAATTGGCGTAGATCGCTGGGCGTTCTGAGTCGTGACGGTAGACCTCGAGTCTGAGCGCGTTCTGACATCAAATGTGCTCGGATCTGTTGCGGTATCATCCTCTGGCGACGGAGATTTTGCCATCTCCGATTCGTTATGTGCAGAACCCTCAGCGCCTTCATGGGGTTCAAGAGCTGTTACCCCACTGTCTGGATTAGGTTCTTCAGCATCTGTATTCTCAATGGCAACAACTGTTTCTGTCTGCTCAAGATTGTCTGCTGTCCGGGAGGAGAAATCCTTGGCCTCTTGCCGAAGGGGGTGTGGATTCGGAGTGGTAGCGGTCGGGGAGACATCCATATATACTTTGTTTTCCCCGTCGATAGAGGAATCGTGCTCTCCACTGCTATCAGGTGACAATGACTGGGAGCCAGTTTTTTGGGGGAGCTCATGTTCGTCGCGTAGGCCGCTGCCTTTGAGGGAAGCCTCCGCCGAAGCCGCGGGAGGGACATATTCGAGCTCAGCCATTGAGATGAACAGCGGACATAGGAGGGTTGCACACCGCTGAGATAGCCGTCTACATCGAAAACCGAGAAGAAAGCAATAACCAAGGAGAAACAAACAACACAGGGTATATGAAAAACACAAAAGCCACGACACGACGATGCAAAGCAGATCTGGAGCCCGATTCATAAATGCCGAGACCACGGACTGTGGCTTCTAGTCATGTGATTATCACTCAGCCACTCGGCTGACTAAACCAATCATTTTGTGGCGCTAGTTAAACCTGAGCACCAATCTCAACAGCCAACCTAAACTCTTTTTGGAAGTCTGGTGGAAGTTGAACGCCAAGTCTTACTAAACTCCTTGTGGACCATGGCTGAAGCTCAACAAAAAGAACCGAACTACAACAACAGGAACAACTTCCCCGACGTTAAATTTTGTCTATACCCCAATACTCACTCTCAGTATCCCCGTGTTTCTGAATCCCAATTCCTTCTTCTTCCCTTTGTGAACCTGGGGCTCTCAATTGCCCTCTCTTTTGCCCTTCGGTTCTCATAGCTCAAGATGGCTACCACCGTCATCTGTCGGTCCGCTGCCTGTCGTTCGTTACTTTCCAAAAACGCATCTAGCATACGCGAATCACGGCATGTGTATCGCCTCCGTGATGCTGTCCGGTATGCCCCAGGTCTTGTCAATCTTGATTGTGTGCCTTGAACTGTATGCTGATTATATCCCCTCTCCCCGTTCTAGACCGCAATTACCCACCCTTTCAGCCCTTGCCAGATACTATGCCTCAAAATGTAAGTCAGCATGACAGATCATGTTGATCGTGAATTTCAATTACTCTCCGGTTACTAATGCGGATATTTGTATCTACTTCTTCAGCTTACCCTCCACACACAATTATTAGCATGCCCGCGTTATCCCCAACAATGACTGCTGGCAATATCGGGGCTTGGCAGAAAAAAGCCGGAGATGTCCTTTCTCCCGGTGATGTGCTAGTGGAAATCGAAACAGACAAGGCCCAGATGGATTTCGAATTCCAAGAAGAAGGAGTTCTGGCAAAGATTCTAAAGGAAGCTGGCGAGAAAGATGTTGCCGTGGGCAATGTAAGTGTGCACTTGGGCACATTTTTTTTTCGTCTCCGAGTGGATGTTAGATGCGGAAACTAATATTTCCCGCAGCCAATTGCAGTCATGGTGGAAGAGGGGACTGATATTTCTTCTTTCGAGTCCTTCTCTCTGGAAGATGCTGGTGGGGAGAAAACGCCTGCTGCAAACAAGGAGCCTCCGCAACCTCAGGAGCCGGAATCCAGGCCTGCTCCCACAACCGAAGAATCGAAGCCCGCAGCTCTGGAGTCCGAGTCTACCAGTGAGAAATTACAATCGAGTCTTGACAGAGAGCCGTTCATTGCTCCCGCAGTCAAGGCTTTGGCGTTGGAACGAGGCGTGCCGCTCAACGATGTCAAGGGCTCCGGTCCTGGTGGGCGAGTGACAAAACAAGATATCGAAAAATACCAGCCCCGCGCCGCAGCTACGGGTGCTACTTTGCCAGCTTATGAAGATATCCCTGCCACATCCATGCGCAAAACCATCGCAAACCGCCTCGTCCAATCCGTCCGAGAAAATCCACACTACTTCGTAACCTCAAACCTTTCCGTTACTAAGCTTCTCAAGCTGCGCCAGGCCCTCAATGCCTCCGCAGATGGTAAATACAAGCTCTCGGTTAACGATTTCATTGTCAAAGCCTGTGCAGCCGCCCTCTTAAAAGTGCCTGCAGTAAACTCGATGTGGATCGAGGAAAACGGCCAAGTGAGCATCCGCCAGCACAAGACGGTCGACATCAGTGTTGCGGTAGCCACTCCCGTCGGCCTCATTACACCCATAGTGAAGAACGTCGAAACTCTCGGCCTGTCCAGCATCTCCAGCCAGATCAAAGATCTGGGTAAGCGCGCTCGCGAGAATAAGTTGAAGCCCGAGGAATACATCGGTGGCACCTTTACGATCAGCAACATGGGCATGAACTCTGCCGTTGAGCGTTTCACCGCCGTCATCAACCCGCCACAAGCTGGTATACTAGCTGTGGGTACGACGCGCAAGGTAGCTGTGCCCGTGGAAGGTGAGGAGGAGGGCAACGCGAGCTCTGTGAAATGGGATGACCAGATTGTGGTGACTGCCAGTTTCGACCATAAAGTTGTTGATGGAGCGGTGGGGGCCGAGTTTATGAGAGAGCTGAAGAATGTTGTGGAGAACCCTCTCGAGCTACTTCTTTAGACAAACCAACACTCAACTCCCTCCCGTTTCTTTCAATCTTTAGAAGTTTGGCTACTGGTTAAGTTAAACGACCCAGGGTGGCTAACTCATCTGTTTCATGTGAGCACAACAGAGCAAACTTGTTTCCCTCCCTCTTTTCTTACAGCAACCCAAACACAGCTCCATACCTTCAATTCCAGCATGTACTAAAAATGTATTCTTGACTATATTTACACCGTATTTTTCCTTGCGTTCTTTCATTATTTCCAATTCTTTTGTTCTCCATCTACTCTTTGCCTCCTCCCTACATGTCTAACTACTTTTGTAGTAAGTAGTGAACTTCTATCTAAAGTGCCTCAGTTATCTACTAGTTAAATTAAAATAAGTCTCATCTATTTGTTGACTATACAAGAGTAATAGCATTGGATACTATTTTATTCCTCCGTATTTTGACTAGGCATCTATCTAAAGAAAAGTGAGTGACTGAATTGAAAACAGTGTATCATTTCCGTGCTTTTGGTGCGCTCTGCAAGACAGCACCCGCTTCCTATGATAGTCATACGTGGCAGACTTAGGTTTCGAATTGTGGCTAGTGGGTGGATTTTGATTAAGAAGCTGAAAGCCACAGCTAGTGACGATGACGTCATGAAGCTCTTCTTTCCATGGAACAATGGACGAGGGAAATGGTAGCTAGAGAAAGAAATCAAAGAAGCAACCGCCCCGTGCCTCTGCTACAAATACTCCGGGATAAAAACAACTTCAGTACTTCAATTTCTCATCCATCCTTTCGTATACTATACAATTCCATTGCCGAAAGTCCAGAGCTGGTCAGAGGGTCACATGGACAGGGACTCATATGATTGTCATTTCCAATAAACATACTACTAGTATCCAGCTCATTATCCCATCTTGCAATAAGGAAAGAACTGGTTTCGTCACTCATCCAACTCAGCACACATAGCTATATCAGTAGCTAATTCATTGTTTCGTTCAAACGACAGACAACTTACAGTACATATCTACTTCTTCATACCAATCTCCCTGAGTCTATATTTATTGCCACATATTCGCTTCCACGCTGATCCGGAAGATATCCAGCACCTCCCTAACCAGCATCCAATAAAACAACGCCGAAAATGTCCTACGCCAAAGCAGTCTCCAGGGATGCCCAACAATCTCCTCAAGAGGTACGTCGTTTATCTTAGAGCAGTTGTATCTATACCTGCTAACAAAAATCCAGGCGTAAGTTAGCATAAACACACACTTTCACGAGATAACCCCATTAGCATTTGGCCCGTCACCTGAAAAATGCTCTCCAACACTAACCCCACACGCACATGAAATCAGTGCGGCACCCCAACCTCGTGAAGTTGAAGTCGCCGAAGCTGAACCTGCAACATCCTCTCTAATCGATGTCGACTCCCCGCACATCTCCTCTGTTCCCCCCACCTACGAGTCTCAGCGTATAAAAACAAACACCCAAGCCGAGCGCATCGAGCGCGAGGGCGAGGAGAAACAGCGGCGCGAGCAAGCCGAAAGAGAAGTCAAACGCGCCGCAGCAAGAGACGCCAAGGGGAAAGCGAAAGCCGTAAAGAATAAAGCAGCGTCCGCCAAGTTGTCCCTTCTCCGGAACAGGTCAAATCCCGTCCTTTTGGGAAACGCGATGTTGATGGCTATTGCGGGCGCCGGGTTGGGATTTAGTGCATATCGCTGGCATTCTCGGGGTGTGTTAACGTGGAATATACTGGGGTTGTGGTCTAGCGCAGTAGGTGCGCTTGGATTTGTGGATTATTATGTTAGCAAGTGAGTTTCCTTTTTCTCCCTTTTTGGGCTTTGCTGACTGGAATTGTTTGTGTAGATGGTTCCTGCAAAATAAGTTTCCGCTAAAGTGAAATGCTCGACTCTGCACCCGATCGGATGATTCATGTCTGGCTGTCAACTCGTAGCACGTATTCTCAGCACACATGCACGAACATCTCCTGTGTCGTCATTTCGAGTCTGATTGACCCTTTTTTTTTGTGTTTTGGAGTTAGTTGAGACGATTGTTTTGGATTTTGAATCATTGGTTTGGTGGTTTTCATTTGGCTCTCGCTCCTGAACAACATCTCCTTCTTAGCAGTAGGTTGTATCATTGCTGTGATAATTCATTGTAGCTAGTTTAGTGCTGTAGGTTACTCCTTAGTCAATCTTAATATCGTCAGCCAAACATGGTTCAATAAACATTATTTTCAGATTCAAAATAAACAGCATAGAAAGACTTTTGACTTTTCATTAACTAACATTCATAGCGGGCTGGAGCCCCGAGAGGGTAGGATTAGAGATTGATTAGAGATGGTAGATTAGAAGACTAGATTAAAGAATTAAATTAGAGATTAGAGAATTAGTTGCAAAGTTGGAGTCTGAAAATCATACGGAGTAGAAAAAACAATCATTATGAGAAATAACTACGGAGTACTCTGTACTTGTATTGATCAGGGTAGACTGGTAACTAAAGGGTACTACTACTCACTAGTAACTTAACTTCAACTAGTATCTTAACTTACTGACGCTAAAGTTGAACGAGATACATTGTAGATGATATGCAACAAATCTTGAATCATGATCAACTTTGAATCATGTCATGATTGAGAGTTTGAATCACACCGAAAGTTTTTTCAGCCAAAAATTCGAACCATGCTCCAGTCTTTTTGAACCATGTTCAAGTGTATACACTGATTTTCCCAGGGCATGAAAGCGGTGAAAAATGTCAGAATATCGTAGCCGATGTTTTTGTGATGAAGCGAGTTGGACAGATTGCAGGTCGAAATGCTCCTTTGAGTAGGCTCATTCTCACAGATTAGCCCTTTGCCATGTGCCACATTAACTACTGCCATGAATACCGAACTGCTCAAATGAGTCTGCCCTAGCAAGCCTCCCACCTTTAATTTCCTTGAGCTCACCACGCAATTTGCCGCCAACAACCCCTAAAAGTACCTAGTGAAGAGCTCTTGGTTACCGAGATATCACCCCTCCTTGCGATTCAGCTAACATGGTTAGTATCCTGTATGTCTCAATTATCGTTTATTGCTTCCGAAACTGATAATATTTTTTATAACCAGAACTCGCTATTCAACGCGGCGCTGAAGCAGTCCTCTGCCCTCCGCCGCGACCTGGACGTTTTTGCTGAAGCTGGCAGCATGACATCCCCCGCTTTGCAAGGTTCGGGCAGAGCCTTACCTCTCTACCCCTATGGATATTCAGAATACTTGCTTATATTCACTATGAGCAGGCCAAATATCCGCCTCTCTTACATCATTCTCCCGCACAATCGACGACTATTCCTCCCTTTCCAAACAAGAACTCATCCCCGCCAAGCAAGAGCTGGCCTTTGAACGGTTGAAGAACTTCCGCACCGAACTGGCAGATTACAGACAATTATTTGATCGACTAAGAAAGGCGCGTGATGATGCTGTGCGTACAACACTCGTTGGATACATATATATCAAATTTCCACATCGCCGAACTCGGCTAACAAACCAACAAACAAACTAGCAATCCGCATCAAACCGCAACGAACTCCTCGGTCGCCGCCCCCATCACGCTTCCACCCCCGAAAACCCCTACGCCCAATCCAACCTTCCACAATCCTCTCCCTTCGCAAACCCAAACTACCCGCTCCACCGCTCCTCGCCGAGTACTAGCGGCGGCGGTGGCGGCCTCGGTTTCAGCGGCGGGCCAACAGACTACGCTCGCGAAGATCGAGTCCTACGCGAACAGTCCTTCTTTTCCAACACAAACGCACAGCTGGACGAATTTCTTGATAGGGGCCGGGCCGTGCTGGGCGACCTCGGGCAGCAGCGGGAGATCCTTAAAGGGACGCAGCGACGGTTATATAGCGTTGCGAACACGTTGGGGGTAAGTGGGGATACGATACGGACGATCGAGCGGCGGGCGAAGCAGGATAAGTGGATATTTTGGGGAGGAGTGGTTGTCTTTTTCTTGTTTTGTTGGGCGGTTTTACATTTTTTGAGGTGAAGGAGTTTTGTCTCCGGTTGGTTATTTCTTATTTTTCGAAATTCATATATATATATATATATATATATGTATGTATATACTTTTCCATGGATCTCAGGATCCGGGAATGGGCTGGATGTTTTACCTGAGTATCTGATTCCCTTTTGTTCCTTATCTGTATTGCCTTTCTTTCTCTTTCTGTTTCTCTTTATTTCTATTTTTCCATCAGCATCTTATTTTTGTGGTTTGGTTTGTCCTCATCACGGATAATACAGCAAATGGATCTATCAATTTATTTTCCCTTTCTCAACCTCCCTCATATCCTTTCGGGCCCTTTTCGTGGACCTCATCTTCTCTATTAATATTCAGTATGCCCAGGTGAGAGAGCTTGGGGGACTACGGTTTCCTCGTCGGAAAAAAAAAAATCGTGAGCACTGTAGCCTCCATAATCACGGAGAGCGATACATGGACCACCAGCCGCCAGACATAAGCACTTCAAAGATAATGAAACAACATCCAAAGAATATTTTTCTCCGGAGAGCCTTCGTCGTCAACACTGCAACCCTAACCCTAAGCAGATCCAGAAACGCTGCGGTAGCATTGATCTTATCGCAGCGATGATGAATGTTCGCCGCAAAATACAGTTTGTCGACATTGCTGGGCGTCATGCAGTCTTTGCTGGGCCATCACATCAAATGGCTCTCTGCCTGGGATCAGCAACAGAAGGGAACCCCTATCATTGTTCAAACTTGGGCGTAGTATCAGAACCCGAGCCTGTGACCTGAGCCATCATTTTCCGAGGTTGATAGTAGGTATGTCAATGTAGTTGCTCGATTATAACATGTGGGTTGCGGCGATTTTTGAGGGGTGCTTTGTCGGAAACACTTGTCCAAAGCTGCTGGGCATGGATACAGTTTAAAAGGCTTACTCTTCACGATAATAGTAGTTTTAGCCAAGGATACTCATACTGAACAAACTCCTTTTGCTAGACAGGCCGAACGGTGATAAAAGAGAAGAATACGGATAGAAAGAAACCAAAATGCGCGATTCCATCTATAACAGCTGGCACTCTTCTATAGCTGGCTAGGAACCACTGCATAGTCAACTATAACTCGACACCGCCCCCTTACCTAATGCCAACTGCCGCTCCAGCCGTGGCCCCGTGATCCGCTGTGGTTGCGGCCACCCTGGAACTTAGCCTGGCACATTTTTCTTGTCGATTTCGGCACCAGCACCAGCTTCAGCACCAGCTTCAACGTTTCCAATTCCTCCCTCCACACTCGCATTCTCCTCCACCGCCATCTTCTTCGTTGATTGTCTGTGTTTATTGTCTGCCATCAGCAACAATGCTTGCCGCACGAAGAGCTTTTGGCTTTGCCCAGCGCCGGGCTTTCTCTGCCTCCGCGCCCCAGGTAAACCGCCATCAAATCGCGTTGATATCTGCATCCCCCATGCAACCCCAAGAAGGGATTGATGCTGATGACCTGTTCTATTCACTGATAGGCCTCTAAAGTCACCGTCCTCGGTGCTGCTGGTGGCATTGGCCAGCCATTGTCACTGTTGATGAAGCTTAACCCTCGCGTTACCCAACTCGCTCTATACGATATCCGGGGAGGCCCAGGTATGACTGAACACCACCATCCATCACCCATGTGACCTTACGAAGGGGAAGTCAATGCTGGAAAATCTATAGCATCGTAATAGAACTACTATCAAGATGTTGGACAGAATCACATGCTGATTTGCTTTCATTTTTAACCTTTTTTTTTTCCGCTCCAGGTGTTGCCGCTGATCTTAGCCACATCAACACAAACAGTACTGTCACCGGCTATGACCCTACTCCCTCTGGCCTTCGGGAGGCCCTGAAGGATTCTGAGATCGTCCTCATCCCGGCTGGTGTTCCTCGCAAGCCCGGCATGACTCGTGATGGTATGCTATTCCCAATATATTATCGCGTTCTACCACTTTCCTTGTCCGAATTGTACGGGTGGATTGATTCACAGTTATCACTTTAGATTTATTCAACACCAATGCCTCCATTGTCCGTGACTTAGCCAAAGCTGCTGCCGAGGCCTCTCCCAAGGCTAACATCCTTGTCATCTCCAACCCCGTACGTATTTCGCCTATGCGCTCCGCGGTGTAGTATTCATGCTTTTGATAAATGCTAAATAATCCAACCCCGATTTCCCGCAGGTCAACTCCACCGTCCCAATCGTCGCTGAGGTCTTCAAGTCCAAGAACGTATACAACCCCAAGCGCCTCTTCGGTGTCACCACCCTTGACGTTGTCCGTGCCTCCCGCTTTATCTCCCAAGTCAAGGGCACCGACCCTGCGAACGAGAAGGTCACAGTCGTCGGCGGCCACTCTGGCGTCACCATCGTCCCCCTGGTCTCTCAATCCAATCATGGAGACATCTCCGGCGAGAAACTCGACGCACTCGTCAACCGCATCCAATTCGGCGGCGACGAGGTCGTCAAGGCCAAGGATGGTGCAGGCTCCGCCACCCTTTCCATGGCCATGGCCGGTGCCCGGTTTGCTGAGAGCCTGCTCAAAGCCTCCCAGGGCGTCAAGGACGTCATCGAACCCACGTTCGTCGACAGCCCGCTCTACAAGGACCAGGGCATCGATTTCTTCGCGTCCAACGTCCGTCTTGGACCCAATGGTGTCGAGGAGATCATGCCCCTTGGCGCCGTCTCGCCATACGAGCAGAAACTCGTCGATGCCTGCCTGGTTGATTTGAAGAAGAACATTGCTAAGGGTGTTGAGTTCGTTAAGAACAACCCATAAGCGATAAAAAAGAGAAATGGTTTTTTCAATACCTGTCTCTCCTTTCTCACCCCCTCTTTGTCTCCCACCCCTCTCCTCCTCCGTCCATTTCCCGCGGTGTTTTTATTTTTTTTTAAACTCTGCTGTCCCGTTCTACTTTTAGACGCTTCTAAACCCCACCTCTCCTGTACACTACCTACACCCTAAAAGGATAAATTTAAAACACAATTTTAATGAGAAAATCATTTTCAAATCAAAATCTTCTAGGAACAAAAAATAAGAAAGAAAAAGAAAGAAACTAATATGTGGTCATCAATTTCTCAAAGATGGTATGCCTTCATTCCCGCGGCCTTTTTTCTTCCCTTAATTTTTCTCTGTCTACGTACTTATGTTGATCTGAGTTTGTTTCTTCTGACAGAGCGAGCGGGATCAGTTCCCATTCCACCCAAGGGTGTGGGCAGCAGGCTTTCTTTTGTCTTCATTTTTCGTTGTTTGTTCATTGTGAATATATATATAAGCCAAGCTAGGGCAGCGTGTTTTGCTTTGCATGTGATCAATATATAATATTTATGTAGCTTTACAACACTCTGACGGCTAGAAGAGTTATAGAAGATTTATCATAATTGGAGCCCCAACATGAAAGCATTAAAACAGCCGATAATTTTTTTTAAAACAAAAATAACTGAAGGAAAAAAGAAGTTGATTATAAGAAGCTATTTACAGTGCAAATAAAATAACAGCAGCTCATTATTTGTTTACGAACTTAGTTGAAGTATACAATTAACCCATACAAATGTCAGAGGAATAGCAGTATATGTGGCTAGTTAACTTATACTACGGAGTGAAGAAATTCTATTTCCAGCTTTCTCTGGAAGAGGATGGTCCTAAATAGCCGCCGCTCCTCAGAAAGACGCGACGGCCTACTCCCGTCTCCCAGATCCGGCAACGTCCACCCACTCCGTCGCGATCGCGGATGCTTCGTCGATAGTATAAATCTCCACACCGTTCCTGGGATCAAGCCGGGGATCAAGCCGGGGATCATAATGCTCGAGGTCGCTCTGAGTTTGTTTACCAGCGCCTGTTCCCAGTAAACCTTCTCTTCTCCCAGATACTATCGCATATATCATAACTTCAAGTTCGTAACAATTCTACACATTTCTTTTTGTTCCTGTGTTTGCCTCCCATCCATCACATACATATGGCTGAACTTTCGGACCGTGATTGTGAAGCCATCGCAAAGCATCCTCTGACCAACTCACTTAATGACCTAAATAACCTGACCCCCCTACACAGAGTGATGTCCTCATGTGGTGGTTTCGTTTTCAAGAAGACCTCCTCTCCGAATCGCGCAGCATCTACTACACCACAGAGAGCAAAGCAGATCTTGCTGGCTCAAATGCAGAACGACAAGTCGACCTCCTTCTGAAGGCTAGCAGTGTCCGTCCCTCGCTGCAAGAAACCAGCCACAACTGGAAAGACATATTGGTGATTGGTGAACTAAAAAAATCCGAGGGGGAAATCAGGACCAAAAAAACCCTGCTGCAGATGAGCTGCTATGTGCGTGAAGTCTTCATTGCTCAGCCCACCCGACGATTTGTCCATGCATTTGTTGTCTGTGGTACCAAGATGGAGACATGGGTGTTCGACCGCTCTGGTCCCTACAGCTCAGGCATCATTGATGTCTATGATAACTCAAAACAATTCTTTCAGGTGCTTGTGGGCTACACCATGATGAGTGATGAGGAGCTGGGACTGGATACTTTTATCACTAGAAATGAAAATGGCAGCAAATCGATAACCATCAAGGAGTTCAGAGGCTCAGAGGAAATGGTGCTGCAGCTGGGTAAAATACTTTCACTTCAGCATTCCATTGTATGTCGTGGGACAACATGTTTTCTCACAAACAACAAACATATCGAGGGTGTAGTCAAATTCTCATGGGTATCAGACAAACGGCGGCCAGAGGTGGAACTCCTTGAGCTATAATAGCAGATCAGAAAAATGTCCAAGGGGTTGCAAGGGTCATCAGCCACAGCACCATCACCAACATTTCTGACTTGCGCAGTGGCCTGATCTTCCATGACAAGCGCCATAATTTCAAAAGAACACCCTCCAGCACAACCTCCTCACTTCACTCTCAGGCACTCACTGGGCCGTATCACTTAGATATCCATCGAAAGTCATCTTCCAGGAAACGCAAATTTTCAGGCAAGGTGATGAAGGCATCCAAGCGATTACGTTCCGCCAATCAACAGTCAAGAGACACCCAGGGGAATGAGTTAACTTTGTCCATTGAGTCTGTAAACCAGCCAAGCCTTTTTGACAGAAATGACATGGATCTCTATGACAATCGTATCCTCTCTTGTCTAGTGATATCACCCACTGGCTGGCCAATCTATGACTACAAATCACATTTAGAGCTACTCACAGCACTTCGCGATGCCATAAAGGCACATCAGTCTCTTTATCTGAATGCAAACATCCTTCATTGAGATATTTCAGAGAACAATATAATAATAACCAATCCTGAAAAGACCAATGGCTACTCAGGCATGCTAATTGATTTGGATCTTGCCAAAGAAGTTGGAAGCGGGCGAAGTGGTGCGCAGCATCGGACTGGCACAATGGAGTTCATGGCAATTGAAGTGCTGCTCAATATCGACCATACCTATCGGCATGATCTCGAGTCATTCTTCTATGTGCTTATCTGGCAATGTGTCCGTCGCGGTTGGGAAAAGTTAGATAAGCTACAGAGACAGGGGCAGCCCGAAGAAAGCGCGCTAAGAGACTGGGACTTATAAAAAAATTGCAAGAGGTAAGCGAGGCGACATGTCTGTGGATGGGTTTGAGGATATCTTATCCGAGTTTCCTCCAATGTTTGAGTGTGTCAAGCCTCTTTGTAGAGCTATCCGAGACATTCTTTTCCCATACAAGGATAGAAGAATTATCGTTGGTACCCCGCATGACCCGAAACGCTTATACACTCCCATTATCAAGGCATACAACGACGCGATATCTTCGATCGGACGTCAAAAGTGATTGGTGGATGAAGGATGCGGTGCCATTACTTTTGTTGTTGGGAGTTCGAACGCACGTTCGCGATGGAATACTCTGCAGCGGGCATGATAACAATTACATGGTATACCATTGTACGGTTAGATAGCAAAATTCCAGTTGATATCTAAGTAGATCCACCCATTTTTGTTTCCATTATTACTGTGATTATTATGTGGACCGTAAGGATAAAGCTGTGGAGGCTCTTGATAGGGTTTTACAGTCCCTTTACGGGGATGAACTCGCTGGGCTCAGTTTCCTACTGCTTCGCTGCGGCAAAGCTTGCAAGGAATTCGAGGATGTGATCAACAAATGTATGACGCATTCGGCGGGTTCAAAGACCAGCTTCCGAGATTGGGCAAAGTTGACATACATGGGAGAAGACATCAAGAGATTTAGGTGGATGTTGGCAGGATACAAATCTACTACAATTAATATTGCAATCGCGGATGCGACTTTGTACGTCTTTCTCGGTCCTTTCCTCCCAACCCCCCTTCAATCAGGCCGACCATATGGCTTGTAGCAGATCAAATGTTACTGCCGCCGTCCTTATTGAATATAAAGATATGATAGCAAACACGACCTCTGATCTCGAGGATCATCTGCAGGACATTGAAAACAAACTTTACTCATTTATTCCCAAGGGAGCCAAGATGGAGCATGAAGATAGTGTGCAGTGGAGCCGAATCCAGGAGGAAAGGAATAAGTACTCAACAGTGTCTCCAAATCTGCACAGACGCCCTTGAGCACATAGACAAACTCAAGCCCAAAATTTTGACCGAAAACCCCACGGCCTTCATTCCACCCTTGGGGATTGGCACAATTGGCAATTCCAATTCTGGTTCGTCCAAATACGTCATCAACTGCATCCTTCAGAAGTACAAGCAGAAACTTTTGACCGCATCTTCAGATCTCAAGAAACACGCTGAAAGACTGAAAGCCAGACTGGAAGCGATGTCGCAGACAGTCAAGGTGGAGGAAACAGTGGAGTGGGAGCAAATTCAGGAAGAAAGAAATAGCCTCAGACAGTGTCTGGCCATTTGTGCAGAGGCAGCTGAGCAAACGAAAAAGGTGCACTTCAACGAATTCGAAGATGTTCTCTCGGCCGATGATTCTCATCAAGTCATTGTCTCAACGGTGGGAGAGCTCATCTCGGCGAAGCTTATCACAACCGGATCTAGGTCAGCACAGTCGCTGGGGCAAATGTCGGATGAAACTCTTCAACAACTCTCTCGGGATCACATCCGTGGCTCTGAAGGCCCTGTGAGAGCTGAGAGGGGGCTGGACATTAGGTTTGATCATTATTGCCGGGGCCATCAGCTGCGAGGAAAACCTCCAACGGTTCGCTCGGATTCCCCTGCTCAGCCTCTATGAATTTTAGGGCGTCCAGATGGATTATTAAGCAATGCAAGGTCCGATTTATTAATTTGGTATATATCGATGTGTAACTAGAGATTATAAACATACAGAAGATTTGGGGCCGGGGGGATAGATGTGTTCTGTCTGGCATTGTGTACCGATCGTCCCTCGAACTTATTCTGAATCGATGTACTGTACTTCCGGGCCTTCTCCGGCCCTCCCCTAGCACCAAGTCCCTTTCGAGTTCTGTATGTTCGCTACAAAAAACTTGGGCTGCGGATGTTACCGAACTAGTATCTACAGTAGTTCTATGACCCGTTGATATGTTTAGTGGAGTTCGATATGACGTCATCCCGTAAATTAGTTAATATCATTGTTTACGCACTGGCAGGGTTCCGAGGTAAAATTACTCCTTCTATGATATGGTTTCTCCTCAGCCGTGGTGCGACTCGGTATTTATAGATCTGTGCTCGAATTCAAGCAGGAGTTTTCAAGTCTCCACGTTCCACAAAGGTGGGCATTCTCTTGCATTCTCCTATTCGAGATATGTATGCTTTCCAAGTGAAGTCGAGATGCCGGCTTAGATTGCAAGAAGCCTCCCAAGCCAGCGGCCACATCAATCAAAAGACATAAAAATATTTCTATTCCGATGCTGCCAGAACCACCATATGTATTAGATATATAACTAGATGCCAGGTTTTCTGGGAAAAAAAAAAAAAAAAAAAAAAAAAAAGATTGAAGAATGGATGTATTGAGTATAGGTTGCATTGGAGATCTTTAACCTTGAAGAGAAGTTCAAGTACTAAATTATTCAAGGTGTTCGCGTGATAGAATACAATAAAACGAGGATCAATTAGTCCTAGGCGATGAGAATCAAAGATGGGTCAAAATCAAAAAAGCAGCAGAGAGCAGAGAGCAGAGAGCAGCGGTACGAAGGAAGATTGAAGAAGAAGAGTAACAAAGAAGACAAGAAACAAGTGACGACGGCTACTGAGAAAATGCCAATTTATATATTTCCTCTCCTCAAGAGAGGGAAACAAAGCAGGTGGACAGGTAGACCGTGCCAGAGGTAAGCTATTTGGCAGGAGAAGGAATATCGAAACTTCGACTTCAATATATGAGAGCCAAAATTTCGAGATCTGCTGTCTTGCATTCTCCGATTATCTTCTCTCTTTTATTCTTCATCTTTTCAATGTGTTGGAGCGGAGAAGGGTGTTAATCATGGATGGGGAAATTAAACAAGAGATCTTGTAAGGCTGAAGGGACCCGCCCAGATGTAGTAGTAGTAGTAGTAGTAGTAGTAGTAGTAGTAGTAGTAGTAGTAGTAGTAGTAGTAGTAGTAGTTAATGTGATCTATGAATCAAGACTAGGGAAAAGCAGGAAGGGCAATGAAGGGGCCATCATCATATCATGATCATGGTGAAAAAAGAAAGAAAAAAATTCAACGAAAATTAACACCAAAGATAGATAATCCATCTTTCCCATTCGCTTTGAAATTGAATTGATCAGAAATATTTCGGAATAGAATTTAGAATGAAAACAAGGGGGAAAAATAAGATAAGGAGGAGGAATATGGGGAAAGGAAAGTAAAACTAGTTGCTACAAACCCGGCGAAGTGGAAATAACGGCAAAGAAATGGAAAAAAGATCACTAATTATATGATTCGAAGAAATGGTAGGAAGGACACAGAGTATAAGATAGGGTTGAAAAAAAAAAGAGAAAGAAAAAAAAAAGTAGATATTTATGTGTAGCTTCGCATGGCATCTATGTAACCAGTTCCGCCTTTAAGATCCTGGTCGAACGTCTCAGCTACATCGAGGACACGGGCGATATGTTCCATGGAGAGTGGGGTCTTCTCGTTCAAGGCAAGAGCCTGAGCAGTGCGGACGGAATTTTTGATCTGTTTCCAACGAGGCGGTAAAGTTAGATATGTACAGATAGCTTAATAAGTTAAAAACCAGATAAATATTGATATAAAATCTTACCTGTCGACCGTTCAAGTTACGTCTGGATAGCGAGTCGTAGTCCGCCTCCGTGAAGGGGACTACCTCAACGCCCTCCTTAACTCTAACTTTATCGAGGAACATCTTCCATACAGTCCGCTTGGCCTTTTGTGTCAGGTCGCCATATCGGAGCGCAACGTGAATCCGTGACTGGAACGCATCATCAAATGTCTCGACGCGATTGGTCGTCAGGAACAAGATCCCTTGAAAGTATTCGAGGAGGCGGAGAAAGATGCTGACCAGCGCGTTGCGGTGGATATCGTGGATGGTGCGCTTCTCGAGGAATACATCGGCCTCATCAAGGAGTAGAACGGCGCCCCATGAATGTGCGATGTCCAGGATTTTATTTAGCTCCCCTTCCAGGGTTCGCGAATCCGTGCCCAGTTCGCCAGCGCTAACCATGTACAGTGGGCGCTTGAGAAGTTCTGCAATGCCTTCCGCCGTGAGAGTTTTACCCGTTCCCGGTGGGCCGTGGAGGACTGCTACGAGACCCTTGCCTTTACCCTGGATCACGTCATCAATGTTTTCAGCGGCGTGGAAGGTGTGGGATTCTACGAGTGCTTTGACGATCGACTTCTGATTATCGGGAAGGACCAGGGAGTCGAAGGCACCAGAATTCCACTCGATCTCATTCATACCAGAGACGGTGAACTCCAACCACAATTTCTCGCTGAAAGCAAACCCAAGAACAACAGGGCTGGCGATCAGCAGCTCCTCGTCAGAAAATTCAAATTTCTCCCCCGCTTGGTCCTTTCCGGCAATCTTATCGAGGTCTTCGTTGACGATTTCCTCACCATCCTCATCACATTCAACATGGACGATATGTGGGGAACCGTCTTTATCTTTAACCAATTTCAGTCTCATTTTTGGACTGTCGTCCTTCGATCCATGCTCTGATTCGGATCCGGACCCGGTACAACAGCAACAATCATCGGATCCGCTTTCATACTCAGATTCTTCGACTAAGTCCGGATCTTTTGGCTTCACAGTGCTGATGGGATAGTTTGGATTGATTCGGCGGTGGATAGCAGGATCAACCATGACGCGCCCATTGATATTGACCTTGATAATCGATCGCTTCTTCTTGTAGAAAGCCATGCCCTTGTGGAAACGGTAGTTCACACCCTGGAGGGCTACGAACTTTTTACCGCGTTCCACAAGCTTCGCTTTCAAGCCTTCTGGGTCTCGATGATACTTCAGTGGATAACAAGCAAGGCTAGAAATCTTGCGGGATCCCTTGAATGATTCAACTTCAACCGACATAGTGCCCATCCCGAACGATTTGCCATCATACTCAAGATATCGTCCCTCAATTTCATACCACTGTCCCTTCATGAAAGAGCTTTCCTTGCTGGCATATTCAATTTTGAAAGCACGAGGTTCGTCGGGGTTGGAATAAGTTGGAGTATATGCATTGGTGTTCGGCTTGAAAATGGCCCATAAAAGATCAAAGGTAATCATGTTCGACTCTAGGAGGGGATACAAGGTTTTCTTCGTTTCAGCGTAGTCGTTGTCCAGATATTTCACTAGCACCTTCAAGTGAGCAGATTTAGTCGCAGCTAGTCGCTTGGCTTTCTTCTTCTTCTCCGATTTCGCAAGGGCCTTCAATTCCTTGACGTACTCCCGAGACTCTTCCAGGTACAAAAACAGCATGTTTGGATCAACGACAGGAGTCTCCTGCACTAACGAAACGCCCTTTACACCGTCCATGACGTGCGCGAGAGCGTCACGGAGGGGTTTGCTCTTGATGTCTACCACTGTGTCGGTGTATTTATTCTCCCAGTCGAATTTTCGACGCACGGTAAATATATACTGGTCCCATTCGTTCGCGTCAGGATCATCGACAGTTTCTGTGAGCTTATAATTATGTATGGTGTCATCCCAAACTACATGGATATAACACAGTTATCAGCACGTAGCCGCCAAGCATTCGTTGGGAGGGTTGAAGGGAAGATAGGGTCCTTACGTTCATCCACACGCTTGAAGGCAACTTTCGATGCACGTTTTCGTTTTTTGGACTTGCTCTTCAGCTGAGTACGTTGTGAACCTGTGTAAGAATTAGCAACCAGCAACCCGAGGGGAGGGGCGGTTTTCTGCTCTGAGCGGTAGAGCCTTGTTGATAACACTTACTTTGCTTCAGGCGGAGAGCCGCTAGCTTCTGCTGGGTAGTTCGAAGCTGTTCTTCCAAAGACTCAACATCACTTTCTTCCTCAGATTCATCTTCCTGGGTCTTTCGGGATTTCTTATGCTTCTTTTTGGTTTTGGCCTTTTTCTGTTTCTTGGTATGTTTGTCATCGGGTTCCGAATCCTCTTCAGTGCTTTCCGACTCGTCATCGTCAGAGGGAGCTTGTTTCCGAGACTTCACCTTCTTCTTCTCCTTCTCTTTGGCACGCTTCTTCTTCTTCTTATGAGAATCCGAGTCGGACGATTCTGAGTCTGAATCTGAAGAGTCCGAAGACGAGGAACTGGAGCTTGACGAGGAAGAATCGTCACTATCACTGCTTGAGGAATCCTTGGCTTTCTTTGATTTCTTCTTGTCCTTTTGCTTCTTCTGAGCATTGGCTTTCACGCTGATATGCTTTTTGCAGGAAGTTTTCTTCGGAGCCGAGTCTGGAGGCGCCGAAGACAGTTTCAACTCAGACTTTGCGTTTGTCTCTGGAGAACCATCCACATCTTGCTTCGTCTGCGCAGCATCAGTTTTGCCAGACGACGAAGCTACCTGGTCAGACATTGTGTGCAAAAGTATCTCGTCCTGGATATTCTCTGTCTGTCGCGGGGAGCCTGAGGGAGAAGGGGAGGAGGGAGTGAAAACGGGGGTTGTGCTGGGGTCACGGGAATCCGAGTCAGAGTTAGATTGCTGTGTTGTACGAGTAGCTGGGGAGGATAATAGGTCGGGGTTCTTTCTGGATGACTCTTCTGTTGGAGGAACCGGCATCTATAGAGCAAGAGCTAAAGGACTATCTGTCAGATGTCAGAGGCAAGAAAGACAAACGGATCGCGGGAACTATGATAAAGTAAAATCCCAAAAAAAAAAAAAAAAAAAAAAAAAAAAGGTCTCTAAGGTAGTTAGTTGAACAACCAACGGAGAGGGAACGGGATCTGGGAATCATTTTATAGAAAATTGCTGGCGAAGGATCTAACCTGAAAAGACTTGCGGAGAGCGGTGAGGGCAAAAAGGGTTAATAACGAGGCAAATAAAAGGGTGAATGGATGGATACAACAACGGCCGTAGATTTCAGGATGACCAAGGAGTACAAAATTGGATCTGAATGAGACAGCCAGGGTTCATTCTCTTGAAGGGGACGACGCACCGATTTTTTTATATTTCCTTCAAAGACTGAGGCAGCAGCCACGACATCAGCCACCAACAAGGCACAAGGAACCTCCGTCGATGGAACGAGCGATGAATTGTCAAGCGGAATCGGGGACACCAAGATAGCAAGCCCAGAGCCGATGGTTGCCTGGTAAGAAGCGATTCGGGAACCGGGGTGGACGCAGGAGGAATGTCGGGGAGAGCTGGCACTGGCAGGCGGTATCTCGTCCGGGGGTTTACTGGGCAAGTTGAGGGTGGATGTGATGGAGCAGAGATGACTGGACAGGGCGAATCCCGCATGCAGCTGGGCTGGTCGCTTGCCAGGTTGCCAGGATCTGGAATCCAGCTCGTTTGAGTCGTGGTGCCGCCAGCAACGCAGCGAGTGGCGCTCGGTCGTCGCTGAGTGGACAAACGCCAGCGAGTTCCACACGTTTTAAAGTCTTAGCGGCCGGGAGAATTGGAATCAGGCGTGAGGCCTAGCCAATGACACACATTTGGGGGAACGGAGGAGGCTGCAGTCGACTCAGAGATGGCATTTGGATGGGCTCATGCCTCTCGCCTTGGGGGGAACCAACTCTCCAACTCTGCCTGGGGAGCCCGAAACCTGCTTGATGGTGCTTCTTGGAGGCGATCCGAAGGTTGCGATGTCCCGTTTGTTATTATAGAGCTCGCAGGCACAGGTAGGTAGGTACTAGCGTGTCACATTGAGGTACACATTTGCGCTGGACACGCTTGGCGAGTACAAAGGGGTGACATGGAGTTACTTCATGCTTCTTCCGCCAGCACCAAGTTTCCTTTCCTTCTTCTGCTTCCATTCAGAATTCGTAATTCTCACAGTCTGCTAGATCCCGATCAAGCTCAAGTTCCCGCTAACCGAAGCTGTTCTCGGGCTGGCCCAATGCGGAATGGCGGCTGTCTTCATCGTTCAACCGTTCAAAGGACAATTCCACCTCTATCACACCGGTATTCCATATCTTCGGGGTATGCCCTTGTCACATTCCCCCAGCAATGAGTCTGGCCATCTGCACACACTTTAAATCTTGTTACCCCCAAAAGCGCACTGCAACACTAATGTTGTGCAAGATCCCAACAGTCCTCGAGAATCTCGTGTGAACACATTCGCCCCATCCCGTTGGTCTGGAATCGTATTCCTATTTCATATATCCCCTATCTCTGTATTTACGGGTGCTGATGGCTCCAACTGTTGTTTATACCCCCGAACTGGTCTGTAGAGAAGCGATCACACGAGATACCATTCGCGTTTACAATGTCCTGTGACTTATGTGATGTATGGAATGCGAGCTTGGTAACAGCAAAGAATAGCAGAGGATCCTACACTCTAGGCAACTGACTGTCTCGATTTTCCTCTGTTAGAACTTGTTTTTATCAACGCGATACTGACACCGATATGATGTGTCTGGGTGAAGGAACAAGTTGCTCTCGGTTTGCTGGCAATGTATGTATGGCTAATTTCTTTGATTCTTCTGCGCTCTCGGCCATGCTAGAACCAATCTGATCGGCATCAGAGGCGGGTCAATTGTGTGGCCTGCCGCTGCATGCACGGAGTTTGTCGGCTGGAGCAAATGGGCGCGGCGGTGAAGTTTCGGCCCATGCACTACCAAAACAGCCGCCAGGTCGACGTCTTGTATTACACGGCATCCTTGTCCCAGTTGGCGAATTGGCTCTCTTACGTTGGTGGCAGCTCGAGAGTCACGGCCAGTCGGGAGGCCGAATGAACGGATATTATCATTTTGCTTTTTTTAATTGGGAGAAGAGCACCGCCAAGTGGTGTTGAAAAAAAAGAAAAGAGAGAGAAAAGAAAAGACAACTTTTCCAATTAACATTTTTACTATCCAGGAAATACAAAAGATAGAAGAGCTATTTTCACTGATGGCCCATTGCACAAAACTACCTATCCACCAAATAAATAGTCATTGAACCCCTCTTCACACCCCCAGTCGCGAAGCTGCAGCCCAGAAGCAATCGAGAAGCAATTACTAGAAAAGAAAAAAAAAAAGTCAAGAATCACCTTCAAAGCTTCCATTCTATCACCAGCCTATTTCATAGACTGGAGTAACATTGGAGGAGGGGGATGCCGTGTTGTTAAAATTATGCGGAGTCCTCTGCGTGGTTCTCCTCCTTACGTCCAATTTCCATTCTGGACATGTTCTTATTCAATTCCTTGAACCTCTTCTGAACAGCGGCAGGTGGGTATTTTTTCCCACCAGCGGCGCCAATGGCGTCAGAAACACTACGCCATTTGTCGTTTTCGAATTTCTCCTCGATCTTTCTCTTGAAGCGGAGCAGGCGCTCCTCCTGTATATATGGAAAGCGCCATCAGTAACAAGGAAAAATTGCATTGTGGTCGGCTACATGCACTATGCACCATGTGCCATTGAACAATAACGCAAGGGATTTAAGGGGTAATGAGACGTACGTCCTCTGGCGTGAAGACCACAAAATTGGCCTTGATACGACCATAGCGTCCACAGAGAGTGCTCCCTCCAACCTTCTCCCCAGTCATCTCTTCCCACGCCTGGCGGATCTCGCCCCAGGATTTATTCTCCTCGTCCTTCATGCGGAGCAGCATCCTGTCTTCGGGGCTTGCATTCTCGTATGAAGTAGGCATGGCGCGTGCGCCGACTTTCGCCTTCTCCCCAGATGCAACCCCTTTGCTGCCCTTGGCCGGAGTGCGCTGTTTCTTGGTTGGAGATTCATCCTCGCCCTCGCCATCGCCATCACCGCTGGCCTTATCAGTAGCTGTCTTTCGACCACGCTTGCGTGGGGTGGCAGTGGCTTTCCCATTTGCCTTGGCCTTTTCACGGGAGATGAAAGGGTTAGCTAGGCTCTTCACAAAAGAGAAAAGTGAAGACAGAGTGCAGGGGCGATAGAGCACTCTCCGAAACTGATTGAGTCGGGTTGATCATTTGCATCCAATCATGCAAAACTTACCTTTTCGCCGTTCCCATTTGCGGTATTCCCATTTTCAAGGTCCTCTTGTTTGATCACCTTCATCTTATCGCCGTTGGTTTCGCCATCGGAAAAATATTCAAGCTTCAGTTTACCATTGCCCTCGATATCATTGGTTGAAGCGAAGTCAGACATTGTGTGTCGTTTCGTGAAATGAATGCTTCAGTTACGGAAGTGATTCTCTATTGTCACGGAACTATCTCAAGCAAGCTTTCTAGCTGTCGTGGTAGATAGGCACCAGCCAGGCTGAAGTGTTGTTGGGCTGTTGGGGTTGTTTGTGAAGGGAGAAGAAAGGAGACTATTTTGGTAATTGAAATGGGAGGGCTGAGGAGCAACCTGACTTCAGACAACTCCCAGGAAAGTTGAAGGAGTATTGATGATGCAGAGAGTGAGGGAGTAAGAGAGAAAATGGGATAGGATCAATCCCTGAATAGAGTTGATGAGGAGTCTCAAAGAAGCATAGAGGAGGGAAGGTCAAGAGAGGAGACAGTGGAAGAGAGAAACAAAACAGAACAGCCAGACAAGTAGGTTCTGTTGGGTTGTTGAGAAAAGGGGGTGAACTGTCTACAAACTCTCACTTTTTCTTGCAGAAATGTTCTGATTTAGAATCTTTGCACTGCAGGAACAAATTTCTACTGAGATTTTGCTATTTTCCATGTTTCAGCAAGAACACATCACTTTCTGAACAACTAGGTGCTTGTGGCAGAGACCAGTACACTTTCACTCCAACAGTGAAGTTCTTACAACACTCCAGAAATGGAGGGGATACAAAGGGGCAAGATATATACACCCTGTGTGTTCACGGACGGTGTTCTGCAGTTGCCTGTGGTTGGTATCCCTTTCTCAATTTTTTTTCGAAGCTCTCGTTTTCGACCCCTAGGCTTCTACTTCGAACATTCACTTTTCATGGCTTTTCTATCATTATCTGCTGGTCCCTTCCCCCCTCTTCCAATTTCCATACCTCCGATATCCCCTTGCGGCTTAGACGCCGCTAAAGTTGGACCAGTCACTGCTTGCTGGTTATTTTTACCGGTTGCCATGACCTGCGCCTTCTCCTTGTTCTTTACGAAGTTTATTCACTGATATATGCCTTGACATGTTAATTATTTATCATACGTGAGCGCTCTCATGACGTTTGCCATTAGGGCACTGGAGGATGGCCCAATTCCGGCGTCTTGGGAACAGGATTGTTAAGTAGGGATACATGTCCGTTCTTTTTTCTATTCACCTGGCACATTGACATGGGATGATACATATGGCAGCTCAGGTGTGAATACAGAGTATATATGAAACACTACCGCGTGCCGAGATGCGTATTAGAGCGAAAACAAAATGCATACTCAGCCCAAGCATCTTGTTCTGAGAGTAAAACATCCCACATTGATTTGCTAAGAAAAGCGCAAAAAAGGAATTTGTTATGCTGTTAAACATCGGCCTCCCCCAATTTA